TTGTTAATTAGTTTATAAACATATTTCCGTCCACTAACTCTACCGGAATATTACCTCACATTTCTATTCTTTATCAAGCCGATAAAAAATAAAAAATAATAACCTTCGATAAACCTTTCTCGAAAAAAAATACTTTCGCGAATCTTTCGCAAATAATTCTAACAACATCTAAAGAACTATTTTATATAAAATTCCTTACACGAAATTTTCGATCAACTTCCATATAATATCTATATAAATCTCGAAATACCCATCTCGAAACAAACACAATACTAAATAAACATCGAAATACAAATTTCATAACACATATAACATTTAATAAACCTCGATAAACAAATTTCGTAACAAACACATCAATTAGTAGACCTTAATATGCAAATTTCGTAATAAATACTTTATATTCTTTTAAATGTTCATTTTCATTCTTTCACTTTCACTCATACATACATACTCACATTCACATTTCACTTACACTTACATTCACACTCACACTCTCTCCCACTCGCACTCACACTCACTCACTCTCACTCACACTCACTCTCCACTCACTCTCACTCACACTCGCTCTCACTCACACTCACTCTCACTCACACTCGCTCTCACTCTCACTCACACTCACCCACTCTCCCACTCTCCCACTCACACTCTCACTCTCCCCCGTTCACTCGCACTCACACTCGCTCTCTCACACTCACCCACACTCGCACTCACATTCACTCTCACTCTCACCCATGCTCACTCACCTTCACTCTCACTCACACTCACTCTCACCCACACTCGCTTTCACTCACACTCATTCTCACTCACACTCACTCTCACTCACACTCGCACTCGCACTCACACTCGCACTCACTCACTCACCCACACTCACTCTCACCCACACACTCTCACTCTCACTCACACTCACTCACTCTCCCACTCTCACTCACACTCACACTCCCTCACACTGTAACTGTAACTCTCCCACTCTCGCTCGCACTCACACTCCCTCATACTCTCACTCTCACCGACCCTCACTCTCACCCACACTCACTCACCACCACCGCCGCCGTCACCACGATCCCCACCTTGATCACCACCATCAATTGTCTGGACCCCAATGTGTCTAGATCTTTAGACTTTCTGCTTATAGACCTCACACACACGCACTGTTTGGGGTCTCTTGCCGGGATAATAATCATTCAGTTCCAATTATTTCCCACCATTCCTCATTTAAATTTATCCTATAAATATTGCTAAATATTTCAATAATATTAACAATATCAATTTACACAATTTAATCAATTATGTGTTGTTATTTATTCAATCCTTTATATTAATTTTATTGATTTAATTGATGACATAATTCGTTCAATATCAATGGGAAGAATTCCATTGCCCTGAATGCATCTTCACGGGACAAACATAAATGATCATAAATGATTAGATTATCGTTAAATGATTTTGAAAAATCTTGCAGCATGTAATAATGTAATAGAAATTTGATTCCTTTCAAAGACAAAGCAAACACATGCGGCAGATCGTGGTTCGAACAAGTGAATTTCCTCCTGACAGCCTAAGATGCAAGATCTAAAGAGACCAAGACCTCCAAAACACAAACATGTCTCTTTCCAATGCCATCTGCCAAGATTCCATCATCTGCCGTCTCTCCCTTTCCGCCATCTGCCGTGCCTCGAGGATCTCCTGTATGGTCTCAAAGAGGTCCTCGGAAAAATCATCGGCGTCCGTGACCATGGCACTCAAGTACTCCACGATCTCCGACTGGTGTCTGCTTGGAGATTTCTTCGATGTCACGGGAGTCTAGCGACCCGCCTTGCTGCAGTTGCAGGGCTTTCATAAGTGCTCAATGAATGTTATTAGGAGAGACATAGTGTGTTATAGCATGGGACACCTTGAATGAGCTCCCTAACCCTAATTGGACTGGACATCGAAATCACCTGAATGGGACTCCTTTTTATGCGAACTATTTAGAGAGCCATATCTCCGATGACTGCCATGGGAAAGACCAGCATCCACTTCCATGTGAGTATATGGAAATTCCCACGCGAAAACAGTTCATTGCTTCAGAATGCATGTCAATGTGTCCAGCCAACGTGTAAAATACGCGTGGCATTCGCAGTGTTTCGTGCACGTCCCACGGATATATGGAAATTCTCAAACGAACACGCCCTGGTTGCTCACATTGCATGTGAGAGTCTCATGCCAACGTGTAAAGTACGTGGCAGGCACAGTGTTTCGTGCAATTCCGAGAGGTACCGATTGCGAAGTGCGCTTCCACTGACAGGCATGGTAAAAAGAGCACCTGAACTCGCAGGGCGCCAGTGTGCAAACGCGGGTCATTTACATGCCCGCGGAGCCTCAAACAAATAAGAAATCCAAATCACCTTCAATACTATGGACATCTCGGCCTTCAATTAATCTTGGAATATGTCCCAGCCACACCAATCCACTTAAGGACAATGATCAGGGACCTGAAAAACTTGTGGTTGATCTCTTTGCATCTCTCTTGAAACTTTGCTTCCAGGGTGTGTTCGAGCGACCATCAACAGCATCCTCCCATTTTCCATCATCAAATCTGTTGAAATTCATAAAACACTGACTTAAATCCATCACTTCAATCTCGCACAATCAGCGCCTCTAAGCGAGGCTGCAAAGAACGCAGGAGCTCCTCGAACCTCACAAGGCTGGAGAATGGTGCTTGGTCATCTCATGTGATCTCAGAGTTTCTCTTTCAAAGGGAGCGGGTGCAGCTCAAGGAAATTTGGGATACTTTGCATAAGCCATGTGAACATGCAGAAGTGGTCTGATAGGTTTCATATCTTGGTGCCCGAAGTCCCTTCGGAGACACATCTGCTCCAGTGGTGATCTTTCGAAGTAGCAAAGTACCTGACACATGGCCTGCCACCTGTTGCATGCGGCTTCCTTGGGCTAACACTGGAAGTGTTGCAGATCCAAATATGCTGGGCACTGTTGACAAACAATACCCTGCACTACTTTGCACCCACTGCGATGTTCTCAGGATAGTCGATCCAGGTAACAACTGCATTTGAATCGACTGTATATGCTTCCATCAACATGCAGAGCCTCCTTTTGCCTCTCACAGCAAGCACGTGTCACCATTGATCTGCTCAACTTTCAATCGCTTGTGGTCAGCTAACGCTTTCGCATATTTCAGATCATAGTAATTTAGGCTCACCGAAGAGAGGATGGTCCAACATGGTCCAACTACATCCTGTGAGGCAGCGGCTGCTCCTCTGAACCCTCTCCCATTCAACGAAAGGTCTGGAGACAGAACTTGGCCAATGGATGAGGAAGGTCGTCTGTTCAGTTCTTGTTGTTTTGCATACAAACAATAACTTAACTTATCGAACGTCTTTGAGGCAGGATCACTTCCGCCTTGCTTCCTGTGTCTCAGTTGGAATGTAATCCAAAATCAACCGCCGTGGACGCATCAAGGAACCATGTTCGCTACGAACGGGGCTCCTGGCCTTACTACGAACGGAGCGATCGGACGCCTAACGTTCGGGGCTCCTGGCATCGCTACGAACGGCGCATTCTTGCTCAACCCACAGCCCCCGCCCCCCTGGCCCTGCGATCCCACGCCTCGGCTCCGACCGTGCGCTCGAGGACGTCGCGGTCGGCGAGGGAGCTGTGGGAGCTGTGGCGGCTCCAGGAGTGAGCAACTGAGCCTTGGGACCTGGCAGAGACAGGAAGATGGCTGGTCGAACACCAAGGTGTCTTGACCGAGTCGTACGTGTTGACATGTTGCAACCCACTCTTGATATATGTGTATAGCCTGTATAGCACGATATTATAGTATGCGTTTCTGCGCTTTCGGATTGCAGGAAATCAGAGTTGGACCAAAAAACAGAGTCTGCATGCACTGCACCTTCCGGTTCCCTGCTTCATCTGTGGCTTCGGCACCGAGCTGGCTCCGTGGGATGTCACGAGGAGCCGCAGCCGGCCGCCCTCCAGCCCGGGCAAACCACTTTGGCCCTCACACAGGTGGATAGGTTTGCAAGTTAGTATCACTATGCATCACTGGCAAAGCTCTCAGCTGCCCTCTAGGCGCTAGTGCCCACTTAAATCATCTGGATGGCCATCATGGCTGCCCGTGCCGTTAAAAGTAGTAGATGCCTGCCTCATCTGTGGCAATCGCCTGCTTCACAATGTCCCGGGGTGAGACGCTTGTTGCAGTCGAGCAAAGGTGCTTCATGGTGCTTCTGTAGTGTGCCCAAAATGGGCGCCAGTTGGCAGTCTCTGTTATGGGTGCCGGCTTTCTACATGAAAGGCTTCACCTGCCAAAAGAGCGGGGTGCCAGTCCGCCCTGCAAACCTGTTGCCCCATTCCGCGAGCTCGGCTCTGTGGGATGTCGTCCGTGGAATTTCTTCACGCCACACGTCGTGTTTGGAGGGCGCTCCCAGCGACGTGATCGGCCACGTGTGACTGGCCGAAGCCCCCAGTCGGCGCTGTTTCAAGCTCGGTTCGGCGTTGACCAGATCATGTTTGCAGAAGCCAATCCTGAGATCTGATCTCCGGATGGATGTGAAGCAAGCAAATTGGGGAGACGATTCTCTGACCCAACGCAGGCGGTCCAAAACCTGCCAGTGGGAGAAGGTCTGCGATGCTCGACTTGGATGACACCTGATGACTGAGTGTTGGCTTGCCGCAAGAAGTCTCTTGCGGGGAGACATGGAAATTCTGGGGGATTGTAAACAAGAGATGAAACGAACAGCTAGCAGCTAGATCTTCTTTCATTTCGTTCTGTTTGGAAATCCAAGAGACCCCCAAAATCTTCTTATCCCAAACAGCTAGAAAAGCGAGAGATTGCCACATCTCGGAGCGAAATGAAGATGGAAACAAGACTCAGTCCACCAGCCTGGCAACATAGATTTCTCCATGAATTACTATAAAGTGGCTCCAAACTAGCTGCCCGAAAAAGAAAAAAAGAAAAACACACAAGAAAAGATATCTCAGTGTTGCTCAGGAAAAATCAATAAGTGGTCCCACCACTGGTCCCATCACATATGAAGATCAAAAGTGCGCTAATTTGTTTAATGTTTCAATAAACCTCATCGAAGCTCTAAGTCCATCCGTGAGTTTGGTCAAACGGTGCGCATTCTCCAGATTCACAGATTGAAGATGATTGGACATATTGCCCAAGCAGTTAGAACATACCCCTACAACCCCAACGGCCATCGACTTGTGCCATAAAAATACGGATGAAAGCGCATGCTGAAGGCTGATTGTAATTTGGTGCTGTCTGTGTTCTTTCCGTGGCACCGGTTTCTTCTTTGGGCAACGGAACAGACCCGCACACCTTTCTTTGAAGCCATCTCCTCGGTGCCCCTCTCCTGACAGAGAAACATCGCCGGGAAATTCCCCAAGAAACAATCGATATATCATATATTACAGTAAAGACTTAGATAGTTCAAGGTGAAATAGAGACCTGCAGGTGTTATATCATATATATATATATCGATCTGATCAGTTCAAGGTGAACAAGAACATCAAACAACACCTGCATGAGTCACTGCTGTAACTCAAAACAAAGACCTCCACCAAAGATTGATCGGGGCCAAAAATGTTCTGCTTTATGCTCAGTAGCCTATTGGTGAACCTCTACACCAGCCTGAATTCGTGGTTTGAAGCAAGCATCCGCTACCGTTCATTTCACATAGTTACAGTACATAGTTTGCAAATTCATACAAAAGCAGTTTGTTCTCTCTATAGTCACCGGTTTTCGAGATACATATCAATCAATCATGTCAAACATTTCTTTCATGCAATCACCCAACATCAGCCCATATCAGCGGTCTCAAGTCACACAAGAACAGTATGTTCTCCATAGCCACCAGTTTCGAGAGGCATATATATATATATCACGCAACATGTTCTCTTCACGCAGCGAACATCAGCCCAAAAATTGCAGTCGCCTGGCATCGCAGTCCCTTTCGCAACCAAAATCCTGGAACCCCCCATCTGTCTCTCTCTGGCGCGAGTTGCCGGGCCTCTTTGGGACGGAGGGCCACCAGCTCTTTCCCACCTTTCGTCGGCCCAGCGAACCCGGTTCTCCCGGTGAACAGCGGCGTTCAAGCGCTCGGAGCGGATTTGGAGGTTGCCCCTTACCCTAGGGTGACTGGATGGAGTTCGTACATGGGGGGAGATATCTGAGGGGCTGAAAGTAGCATCCAGGGTCCAATGTTTGATTAAACCTAAACGCTGTTGTAAAAAGAACTCTAAATGCAAAAAGCCAACTGGATCAAAGGAGCTTGGCCTCCCAGGCCCACCTCCTCCCAAGTTTTTTGACCCCATAATTCACTAAGAAAACCTTTTTCTAAGCCCATCAACGCCTCCCAGCAATATGTTGACTCACACCTGATTGTTGCAAGGCATCTCACGCAACCCATGTGAACCTGCAAAAGAGAACAGCAACATGCGTCAAAAAGGAAACCTAGAACCTAGTGCTTCTTGTACATAAACCTAAGAACCTAGAGCTTTTGTATATAACTTTATCCTTCGCTGTACATAAAGAGTCGAACAGATTTGGGGATGTTTGAGGGATTGCATTTGCGTAGTGCACTCAATTCTTTGCAATTGACTGTTTTTCTTTGGCAAACATTCTGCACCTCTTAGTTACCATAACAACTATGCCTCACAACCTCCAGGGCATTGGGGCCAACAGCTGTGACAGTCAGAGATCGAAACACCGAAGACTTCAAATAGAATATGCATGTGCGGACAATATTACTTGTGTGTAGCTAAAAAATCAGCCATTTGGGCATGATTGTCGTTTGCGGGGACCATATTGTTCTCTCTCTCTCACACCTACAACATCTTGGTCAGGTTTATGTTTTGCTTTTGTTGGGTGACTATATTAAATATATTGTTTTCTGTGGAAACAGTCCTGGGGATGATCATGGTCAGGCTGTGACTTGTGAACAGGTTCACATAAGTAGCCGCAATACATAGATTGCAATATATCCCAGGATGAGAGCGGAACTGCACAAGTAGCAGCTTGACTTGCTCACTCGCAACACCTGAGGTTAATCGTAGCAGTATTGAGTCATTGTTGATTGCTATACAGCGCCAGGGTAGTTACCGACTCAGCAGGTTCATTGGCAAGTTGGCTTTGTGCAAACAAATGGAATGGATATGGAATGGATCATTTCTGCGATTTTTGCCAGATTCCTGATGCCTCAGTGGAACATGTAGGAAATATGGGGTAGGTTGCAGGGATTTATGGTTTTAACTTTCTTAGAGTATAATGGTATAACTATATAAATACATATAAATACAGTACAAATATAAACCAACAACTTTGTCTGCTGCCATTGCTACATTTGGGCACGTGGGTGACTATCACATCTTTTCAGCTTCTCTTTTGGACAGTGCAAAGAAGTACTCACTTTAGAGATACACAACAGAGCAAATATTGAGCAAATACGTAATTGTGTGTATTGTCCCCTTTTACCCTTCTGGGGATACTTGGAACGAATAATGTTCTTCCTGGCAGGGAACCCCTGGCAGAAGAGCCTGCTCAAAGGAAGACTCTTATCTTTGGACCAATTCTCAAGTCTGAGTGGGGCTTCCCTCTCCACAAATGTTTCATACATCCATATCAACATCTGTCACCTCAAACCATCAACCTGAAATGAAGAACTCTCCAGTCCTGAATCTCTTGGTCTACTTTTGGTCTCTTCAACCCCCAACACTATCCAACACCCCCAACATCCCCAACCACTTCTTCCGCCTGCTTCGGGCCGCGTGGGCGCGTCCGCCCACTGCGGAGCGCCATCCAAGCTTTGGAAGAAGGCCTTGCCAAGGCCGCTGGGCACGGCAGCCGGCTCGCGCTCCGCTGGCGTGGCCGGCATGGCCTGCGTGGCCGGTGTGGCTTGCGTGGCCCGCCTGTGTTGAGTTCATGGAAACTCCTTGATGATAGTGAAAAGGACTTGCACACAATCCAAATCCAAAGGGGCTTTATTCATGAATCAAACACTATGGCGATTTCAATCTGCTTGAAACACGGCGTCCTTCATCTGCTCTCGCCCGAGCCACCCAAACAGTGGACCGATGGTGGAACAGTGTCGACTCGTGTCGACCATCAACGAATGGATCTCAACTGACGAGCATAAAACAAAACATCGAAACACGCGACGCCGGTGTGTATCTTAGTAGATCCCCTGGCCCTGGCTGGATAGACGTGTATGTTTCCCCTCTAGGAGGTCGAACAAGGTCGGTCTACCAATACGCCCACTGATGAGTGCTGACGAGGTATGTGATGAGCTGCATGGCACGAGGCAAACTGTGCCACACTGCGCCGCAACCTCCAACTTGGTTTCCAAGACCCAGAGCAACCTTTGACCAACCTTCTCAGATAAGAGAAATTCACTTGAGGTCCTTAAAGTTGGCAAACGACTTTCGCTGTAGCTTGCTCTCATAAACGAAAGTCAGTCATAACAAAATTAATATATAACTCAATGATACTTAGATAGATATCCTTAGCAGCCTTAGCATATATGTTAAACGTGGAAGCGCTCTATCCTAGTCGTTCGCCATCCCAGCGCCCCACGGCCACAGCCCCGCCTTGTGCTCTTCGCGTCGCGCGCCCCAGCGACGTGCCGGTGCCGGCGCGGACGCAGACGGCGGCGGTTCCTGGAAGATGGAGACTTGGACTGCGTGGGAGGGACGTTTACCTCTTAAAAGCCAGCTAGAAGTTGAAGGCTTTGGGATTCTGGAACTGCTCCAAATCTCGAAACTTCCAGTATCTTGCAGTACTAAACCTTGAATATCTTTGAATACAGCTCTCACAAACCTTATACGAGCAAGTTTGATGTGCCTCTGCTGCTGTGCCCTCGGCCCACTCTTCCCAACCTGAATGCGGATGTTTGAAACTTCGTTTGGAGGAGAAGCTCGTCTGAATCTCATCAACATGGAGAACCGATCTTGAAAGGACACATCACGAAAATCATGACACCTTGTTACTAGTAGTAAGGCACTTGTTTCTAATAGCTTTTTTGTTACTACTAGTAAGGCACTTGTTACTACTAGCGTGGCACCTGTTACTAGTAGCTTCTTGAATCCAGAAACATTGGTTCCAACACATCGGCGAACCGCGCCAAGAAAGACATGGATCCTGGATCCCATTGCTCACCCCATGGGTGTGGAAGATGCAGCATATAATGTTGGATCCTATCAAATCCCACTTGCCGTCGGAACTCCTACCTGCTAAAGCTTCGTGCTTTCACCATATGGAAGAACAGCTACAGTATAACCCTCAAACCCTGGGTTACAGGGGTGATCTTCCAAGAACAGGTATTATATGTGTTTTGCTTGTGAAACTGTCTGGTGGGCAAAACATATATACACGTTGTTATGTTGTTTTCCTACATTTATCATACTATTGGCCATTCAATGTAGAAACATATAATACAATAAGCCACCAGTCACCCAGAAACAAATCACCAACAATGGGCAATACTTCATGGGTTGAAACATTTTCAACCTGCAGAATATGCGACCAGTTCCCATGCGTGCACGGAACTTATGGATGTCTATATATATATATATATACACTTGCAACCCCTCAGCCTGTTCAACACCAGGGCCTCCTAAATGTCGATAGTCCCAGCTACTAGGGATGTGAGTGGTGTCAGTGTCAATGCAAACATTCTTCGGCCAGCACACATGTCTAGAGATGTGCCCCTTGAGCAACTGAAAACGATTGAATTTGGGGGGCCATCCCAATAGAATGGTGAATGGTTATACAAATGGATCAGAATTATCACTCCCTAGGGGTCCACATACCTCCCACAAGGTACTTGGACCCACCAAGCCTATATATATATATATATATATATAAGTATAAGTGTCTCCGATCACCCTCTCAGAGGGTATGTAGATCCCTAGGGACTGCCACAGTGGCTGGATTGCATGCTTTTGATCACTGCCTTCACAGAAGGCCCACTCAAAACAGCTTGCGACGTCCTTCTCTTCTTGGGGAAGGAGTAGAGGAAACCGATGGGGAAAGCGATTGCCAAGGGTCTGGAGCTGTGTTTTAAAGGGTGATTTGGTGTCGAAACGGTGAAGAAACATGTCAAACATCGAAACATCTCATTCATGGTAGAGATGATCATGCAAATGAGATTATCATCCATGATCATAGATGACTATCGCATCCAATAAGACCCCTGAAATTATACAAGACATACAATACACATAAAAATTGGATTTGTTGAAGGAACTGAGAAGAAACAACCATATTCCACAGAAGGGGGTGCACCCTGTTGAAAGATTAAGAATCGCCAATGCGCAAAACCAAGCAAGCACTTCTTTCTTGGTCGTCCGGACAGCGGGAGCAGTAGAACTCCCCGTCCTGCGGACGACAGACAGACGTCTCGACGTCACATGTAGACCGATGTGCGTGGGTTCAGCTGAGCGTGGAACCCTTGGCGCCCCTAGGGGTTCTAATACTTTCCCAGGGAGTCAGACTGGGGCGTCGCCCTATTCTACACAAGGCTTTGAGTGTTCCCCACCGCCAAATACTTAAAAGACTCTAAGTAGGCAAATACGATCTACATCCGGGTTGTGTAAAGGCATGAATACCTGGGACAGGCGACAGGAAAAGGGTCACATATTGGCCTCTGCTGTGAGTCAAAGCCTGCCCCCACAAAAAAGGGCCAGTTGACTTCTCTGCTACTTCGTTCGTTTTCACCTGTCAAGCCCAGGTCTGCGGAGTCACCCATGAGTCTACCTGTCAAGCCGACTTAGGTGACTGTGAGTCAAAACTAAAGAGACCTTAGTCAACCACCCCAAATGAACCAACAAGACCATGAAAACACACAACCTACTTCATTCTTGGGGTCCAGGTATCGACAACAGGGATTGGGGTGGTCTAAGTCCACGCATTCGATTGGTTTTGGCATGTTTTGGCTACCCAGATCAAACCACCCATCTTCGCCTCGGCCAACTCCGCGTCGCCGGCGGCGCCACAAAAGGAGCACGCCCCCGGCGCGTCGTCGTCCTCGTCCTCGCGGAAGGGCTCCCTCATCGGTGCACCCGGGGGGTTTGCCTGTAGATATGAAGGTAGGGGGTGATAGTTGTAGGTGATGTGTTGGGTATGTAAAATGTATTTGCCAAAACGGGTGTGACACACCACTCATCAAATTAGCAAGTCAATCTGGGTCAAAAGGCCACGGCTCAGGCCGAATTGGATGATGTTCCCTGGCACACATTGGGTGGCCATATTTGGTTTGTTCCCAACCAGGCGAGGTACAGGCTTTTGAAAACTCATGACAAGAATGAAGAAACACCGAAAACTCATCGACATAATACAACACAGTCCTCTAGTTTGAGGCTCCATGCTCGGCTTTGACCCCACAAGAGCTCATCTCTTGAACAACTGACAGTTGAGACCCCCCAAGAAGACCTGAGCCTACAAAGAGGATACCAGCCCCATGGTTTTAGAGGTGTTCAACTGACTGTTCCCGGAAATGACCAGTCCAAGCTGGTCACCAAACAGACAGCGTTGACCACCACCCGAGTCACACGAATCACCAAAGTCCGGTGCCAACATGCCGCCATGTGTCCGGAGATTCAATCTTTCGCGTGGAGAGCCTTTATGCACCCCCCAAAAAAACATGAGATGTGGGCCGATGTGTGTGTTGATTCGTAGTCGTAGAGTCTATGAAATATTTTTGCCAAGTCATTGGGCATCAGGAATCTACTTGGGTATCAGGAATTCTATGACTAATTAGAGGTGTATCTAGGAATCTACTTGGGAATCAGGATGTTCTAGGAATCTACTTGGGTGTTTTGAACGTCTACCCTGTCCTTCCACAACCTTTAAAATTAAAGGGTCTGACCAAAGACCCGAGGTTTCAACATGAAACCCGAGGTTTGCATTTCCAGACTGAAATGATAACTGTGGTGCTTCTTGCCGCTGCCGTTTTGCACGCTCACCAAGCCCCTTGAGGGCATGTTTGAAACGTGTAGCAGCACGTCAAAAGGTCAAGCGGCAATCACCTTATTGGTCTGGTGGTCTATATGGAGGTAGCAACACTTCAAAAACATATGAACCCGCATGCACTTGTGCGAAAAAGACATCCCGTTAAGCGTGCTCAACCTCACAAGCGCACAACATACCCAGCAGTGACCCATTGGGCATAAGCTGCCTGAAGGTAACGGTCCATGACCCTATACAAAACTGGACCATGCGTTCCAACTCGGCGTGAGAGCCTGCTGGGACGCCCGATGAAATCCTCCGATTGCTGTGTCGAGTAACACAGTGGGTTCATGATTTTCTTCTGGTCCAGTGTCAAGTGGTGCCAGCTATGGATCTTGGGAAGGAGCACGAACAATGATTTTGATGCCGCTGAGGCTTCACTTGCCAGCTGCCCATACCTCCTTAGGAAGCGCATCGACAATTCACCGATCAGCTTGCTCTCGTTGGGATCCAGCCATGCACCTGCTCTGTACATGGTCCATAAACAGGTCTAGATGCTGTAGCAAGCCTGGGCTGCTTTCACCAACATCGGCTCATCTTCAAATGCCTCTTCACCCATTTGCTTGAAGCGCCACTCCAAGAACTCCATGCGGACGGTGGAGAGCTCTCCCTTATGCCAGCTGCCGTTGGGGTAGACCCTAGAAGAGCTCCACCCCAGCATTTCTTTGCTGAGCACCCTGCAATGGGATCTTCGCTTGAACCTTGAGCACCAAGCTTTGAACTGTCTGCTGAGCAGATCGAATCGACGATCCACCGATCCAGCGCACTCTTGCTCTGCAAGCAAAACCAATACTGACCCTATGTAGGATTTCGAGACTCCCAAATGCCACGTGTGGAAGACGTTCCACTTGAACAACCCCGCTCCTTGAGAAAGAGAGTGGGGAATGTTGAGCAACGGGGAGCCTTCATCGCGGAATGGGGAAGATTGGTGCATCGACTGGAGCCAATCTGGTCGCCTCGTCTCAATTTGCTCGAAGTTGTACCTTCGGCGGCCTGCTTCACAAAGGTGGCAGATGCCACCTTTGTTGTCATCCACAGCACCGGCCCTTATGTGTTTTTGCAGGTTCATGTACGACCGGTTCATGTCTCCGGCCTTCACCAGCCACGGCCAGTCCCCACAAACGCCAATCACCATTGCCCAATGCCGCAAACCTGATGCCTCATCCAAGACGCCCCGACGACAAATTTCCACAGAGTCTGTGGCCAGACCTTGCATGAGGCTTCGGAAATTTGATTCGTTGTCTCCCATGTAGTCGGCTTTCCTGCAAGCAGCGTAGAGGAATCGATTTGTATAGGAGTGCCCCTTGAAATTGGGCAGCATCTTGATGTAATGCTTGAATTGGCTTTTGGCATTCTTTGAACCCGAACGGTTCCTATTGCAAGCAATTCCTCGCCCCAAAGGGCTGAAAAATGATATGTCTAAAAACGGTGAGTGCTTGCGAGATCTGCCCTCGTCTCCGTGGAGCAGGAGCGGTGCTACCCGACCCAACACTACCTCTCCGTTTCGGGCGAATTCGAAGATTGGATGGTTTGGGTCCTGCTGTTCATAGCTTTTCCAAAAATGAGTAAATATCAATTCCTGTCTCTTCTGGTCCGGGGCTTGTAGCCCACTGAGGATGTGCCAGGAATTGTTCCGGAGCAAAAAAGCACACCAATCTGGAATCCTCAATGTGGGAATATCCGTCTGCGGATCTTCTGTTTTCAGCTGTGATTTGGGAACCTGAAGTGCTAGCCCAAATTTTTTCACTATGGTCCGATGGCAATCTCTCTCTGAATTCTTGGGCTGACAACGAGCTAGGTCATTCAGACCACCGGACAACTCAGCAGCTTCAGGGCCCACATCTTCCACAATGGCGCGGGCAGCGTCGATAGCTGAGGCGCACGAGGCCTTGGCAACGGCCCAAGAGTGGCTTTGGTAAGTTTGAAGATGGTGCTAGCGATGGTTTGTTTCAAGCTACCTTTCAAGAAATCATACGGAAGCTGCATTCCACCTACTCAGGACAGTGCACTGTGCACATTTTTCCTTCTAATTCGGAGCACGGCGTGGAAAGAGTCAACTATATATGCACATGTCTACTAGCTTAACACGTAACAGCGTGCGCTGGCTTTTCAAGCCATGCCAGAAGACCTGACTTGAATTGGACGAATAGCAGGTGGGTGCTTGAAAGACCTGTACACAACATATGTGTAGTACACGCTCTCACCACCATCGCTCAGTGAAGCTTGCAATGGCGGCTTCACATTGTCTCCACCAAGTCTAACGTTTTTGCACCCTGGCCGACCTTATTTATAGAGCTTGCAGGATGTCAAAGCTCAACGGATGAAAGCCTGAAATCCTAAAGAAAAACACAAACATCGACTCAAAACTTGCAAGTTGTTTGTGATAACCCATCTTTCAAGTTTAGGGACTTTGGTATTGGTGGATCAGCGCTGCTTCGAGCATGGCAGGAGTAAAGGGCTCATGTGTTTCGCAAAGAATCACCATGTTGGACCACTTTTCCTTGTCCTTGCTATAGCCGTAGATAGGGCTGTTCCAGCGCCAGCGAGGGTTGTGGGTGAACCCGGTTTTGAAAATCATGGGGTCATTCTTTTCAAAGTGGAGCCCAACACTTGGTTCGCATGTTGGAGAATGCTTCCAGCTGAAGCCCCCGGCTTTTGGGTCTTGAACACAATGGGGTCAATGTTCTTGGTGATCCGGGATTGAACGTCTTCCAAGAATAAAGTCTTGCTTGAAGCGTTGGGTTCTTTGTCTTGGCACCTGCTCCACTGGTCTCGGTTTCCAAGATCTGCAAGCGCTTTCCTTCCAGTAGAATCGTTGACAGAAACCTGAGGCGAACCAGCGTCACAGCGCTGACTACTACCGCTCCTTGTCCACGGAAGGGGATAGACGTGTTCCTGCTTGGCGCTGGATGGCCCGTTTTGGGAAAGGAAAACGGTTTTATATTTGAACATATCAATACTTCGATCTTGTCTATGAACCTGAACCGTCTTGCTTAATTATCATTGACAGATCGAGTCGCTATATACTAGCTTCGAAACATCTCGATCAAAAGATGCACCATACAAGCTAGGTGTCAGTTCGATGGCACGTCAATAGATCCCAGAGTTCATCATCCGAGCTGTCATGGCCCGTGGAGGTTGAACCCGTATTTAGAAACACGGTCGGCGGGTGCATCTTTGCCGGGCCAAAAAAGAGCTTCAAGGTTCTCAAGTTATTGCCGCACCATGAGTCCCAGTGAAACCAATGCCACCCTCAAGTCTTGAGACACTTGGAAGGCTTGAGCTTCGGACGCCTTCTCCAATCCGCTGGGACATAGAACGGAGAAGCTTGCCTGGGCGGACACCTGGCCAATCCATACCGTGGTGAGTTTTGCAGATATGTTGTGCTCCTACAGCTGCCTAGCGCACAGTTTTGTCTGCCATTGAAAGAGCCCGCACTCCACTCTCGAGCTGCGGCGAAAGCCACATGTGTAAATTAAGTATCTCAGCCGTTCATCCGCTGCTTCTTATATAGCCTATTAGACAATGTCAGCTATAGAAAACAGCCATTGAAGTGTGGTCATGCCCACATAAACAGATGCACACGTGTACAAAACAAAGGCAGCGTCGACTGAGATAAGCTAAGTACCCCAAAAGACACTAATTTGTGAAAGGTAGTCATTCAGACTACTTTGCCTTTTTCTCTTTCTTTTCCTTGCTTGCTTTCTTTTCCTTGCTTGCTTTCTTTTCTTTTTCTCTTTTTTGGGTTTGGTTTTGCCGCCATTGGCAGCGTCGGCTTCACGCTCACCCTCCTCCTTCTTCTGGTAGAACTTCTTGGCATTCCTGGCAAAGTATTCAGACTTGTTTTTTTTGTGGTTTTAATATATCAACCTGGTTTCCAAGAAAGCTTCATTAAACCATATAGAGATCGGTGCGCGCGTGCGTTTGTGAAAGACTGATTGAAATATAAGGAAAGGCCTGGCTTTCATCTCCGTTGCGCTCGCTGCAGAGCAACTCAGTTTCAGCGACGCGGGAAGAGATGGACACTTGGCAACAAAGAAAGGTAGCACCAGGTCTCTGACACCCTGGTCGCCTCTCGCATGCGGGTTTCAGCCATTTCGTAGAACCTTGTTCAACATGGTCACACATGGTCCATTTAAGGTCTTGTGTTCTTGTTCTTCAATTAGGAAGTTCTGATCAAGCAATGTGCATGCACATGAAATCTGAGAGAAAAACCCCTCGGTAAAAAATCCTTCAGCTTCACCTTTGGTCCATGCTTCGGTGCACGAGTCGTAGTGATTGTCAATCTTCGCGATGTCCCCCTTCAAGGACTCCTTACCTTAAAGTGCCGAACACGGTTTTGACAATGAAACGGTAAATTCAACGGTGTAGCGCACAAACTTGCAAGCCACAAGGAGTCAAAAACACTACGCCAAAACATGAACCCAGGTGCTGTGGAAACTTCCACTCTCCTCACTTTCATTTTTACAAATCCAAGTAGTTTACGGATTGCCCACGCACTCTCGATGACGATGCTTCCGTTTTCGGCTTGATCTCCAAGCTTGTTTTTCCGAAACAATCCTTCAACCTCACCCCTCAACTCATCAATCAATGGTAGGGACCTAGTCTGCATCATGCCCATCCTGGTAAGAAGAGGCTGGAGCAAGGTAGCGTTCTTGATGCACGTTGGTATGTCCTCTGATGGGCTAGACTTTGGGTGCATCAATACACCGTCATTCCGCATCCGATCACGCACCTCATCGCTCTGGTCCCACTCGTGCATGACGTCACGAATCTCCAGCTTCTCTTTGGGTTGGCGGGGACGGCCAGGTGGTTTGCCACCCTTTCTGCTCCCCATGAGCGTGCAAACGTTGACAAGAAATGTCAGGAATGCGGAAAACTTGAACCCAAAGGGCTACACCGTTGATCTATACTCAATCGGTCATGCAATGTGTTTTTTCTGAAGCTGATTGCACCCCGCACTCTTGGTCAGCCCCTTCTTCCAGGACTGAGGACGCTGCATTGGATCAGCGTCGAACTCGCCGGACAAGAAAAAGATCTGGATGATGGGCGGTGAGATGTGTGGACCCTGGAGACCATCTTACCTCATGATTTTATTGGACCATGTTCAACGGAACTTGATAGGACACCCTCTCAGTGGTTCCCGACCTTGTTGGTGAGGATGTTAGACAATTTAAGATCTAACCGCGTTCCGCCGGAGCCCCCCCTGGAGCATGAACAGCCGGTCACCTGTGCAGCGGGGCCGACGAAGGACGTGGTCAGAAGCTATGAAAACCTGGATTTCAAGGATTATATAGAAAACCCGAGGTTTTTAGTGAAAACCCGAGGTTTGAAGTAGATCATTGCCCAAACGCGAGGTTCTCCTGAGAAACCTTTATTTTTATAGGGTTCGGGTGCGTAGGGTATTCACATCAAAAGAGGTGTTTCTGGGGCGGTCCATCGCCTTCACTCGACCGTCATGGACCCACTGTGGGTCCGGCACTGACAGAAAGAGCACCGATTGATGATGTCCGGACCAATTGGTATGTTCAAGGGTTGGATCTATCCTATTACCAGTGACACTGGATGATGATGATTATAGTTAAGGCCGTTCTCTAAACGCGTGATCATTGTTGGCTGACTGTTACAGGTAAAAGGACAACCCCCATTGCCAATTCAACGGGTTTTGGGGGTATTGTGAAGCAGGAACCACATGGGCAAGTCCAACATATTCCAACACATCATAACCCATCGGATTTTGGGGTCCAGGCGGCGCTGTTTTCTGTTTTGACCATGCCCACATGGCCGCCTCTTCATTGCATTCTCGTAGAGGCTCCGGCCCATAAGATCGCTGGATAGATCGCTGTTTTCTTTTTTCAGTTCTTTGGCGGGGTGCGTGAGGGTCCGAGTTGAAGAGGGTGTCAGACGGGGGTCGATGGTCCGCGACCTTGGCGCAGGAGCCCCTAGTAGCTTCTTGTTCCTAGTAGCGATGCCCGGAGCCCCTAGTAGCTTCTTGTTCCTAGTAGTAAGGCCAGGAGCCCCTAGTAGCGTCTCATCTCTATCGTATCCCACTCTGTTCCAAGCCACTTCTGATCACTGCGGCCGCCCTGTCCTCCCAGTACTCGCCGTACTCCTCGTCCTCCCAGTCCTCCTCCCATTCATCTTCGTCCACCTGCGCCCCGATCTGAAAGCCTTTCGGGCCCAGTCAGTCAAGCTGATAACATCTGATAACTATATCATACTGTAACTCGAAGTTTAGGCTCTAAACATCAAGCAGTTTGAGGGTCAAAATCAGCAATTTCACAATGCTGTGAGGCATTGTCGGCATTGTGAGGCCCCGTTCTTACATTTTCATTCGGACAAGCTAACGTTAGTAGAACTCCGGGTCTTTTTGATGTACCGGATTGGTATTTTCTGCTTGCTGAAGCCAGATCTTTCCTTCAGGACCGCCGCTTGGGGCATCGGCCGGTCCGCTGCCTCGGCAACCCCAGCATCCGCACAGTCGTAGTCCAGGTCATCTTCGTCTCAGAAAACCAAGGACTCGACTTGGGCAAGGGGGACCACCGAGCGACTTGGTGGCACACCACCGCCCACCGGGTGAAGCCAAACGGGGCAAGATGCAAGAGAACCAGTGGACCAGTCGACCGAACAGTGGTCGAACAGCAACTTTGTTCGACATTGACGAAAAGGAAGTGAGCAAGGAAGTCGCAGCCAAACAACAGCTTTCTCAGTATAGAGGTAGCGTGATGTCGGGATGTGTTTGGGGCAAGTACAGGCACTAGGAATGTTGCTAAATTATCTATAATTCCTCAACTGTTCACAGTTCAGGATGTTTACTTACTTCACATACTTTGGTCTCGTAACCGGAGACACTGGTTTCTGCAAGGGATTTCCTCAAAAACACCGTTGCTACACAACCCAGCTACCATGAGCTACCTCACCGGGCGGTCCAGGTCACTGACATCACATCTATTCCTTTCGTATGCTGGTCTTGCTGCAACACACCTCACAGACAACACACATGCCTCATCACAAAAAGCGAACAAACCACTGGACTTGCTCTGCCATGAGTGGGTGCTGTGCTCCAAAGATGCCGGAGTCTTGCTTATTCTTGATATCGCATTGCAAACTATACAGTATTCGTCGCATGTTCCTTCTGGAAACCTCTCCATCCTCAGATTCTCCTTCCGCCGCGCCCGGCCACGCCTTCCGCCGTTTTGCTGTCCGGTCGCGCAAGCAGCGCCTCCAGTGCGCGCGAGGCCTGATGAAGCAGCGAGGAACGTGGGTAAGTTTGTGGTCGAGATCGGTGAGCTTTTCGTGGATTCTGGCGGCCATCGAAATGGCGGGCCATAACAACAAAACACATCATTCAGAAAGAACAGATGGTCTCATATTAATTGGTACTATCGCTTTTCCTAAACTGTCTCAATGAATGAACGTGACACTGAAAGCGACCCAAGTTGGGAGAGGAACAAGGGAAGCCCCCATCTAGCTGTTGCCACGGTGCCTAAGGGGAAGTGGATCTTGAAAGCAAGCAAATGAAATGGAAGCATCCGGGAATCCATCGTGTAGGATTGACTCAGAGTCGCTTCCACCTGAGAACGCCCACGTCGTCGTGCGAATGCACCAGTCCGCGAGCAGCTCCATCGGTCTATCGGTCCGGCGACCGCAGGAACCTGATGGGAACTCCCTGCGAAGCGTAGCAAGGCTTCCTCCACGGCCTGAGCGAGGGCGGGGGCCCACAGACCTTGAAGCAAAGGGTCTTTGTATGTTTTGGATGGCTGACATGTTAGCTTGAATTTTGTCCGTCAGTCAGATTCCTCTTCCACGTAGCGTTTTGTGTTGCTTCCTTTTCCATATGTTCACTCTGTCTTTCCTTTTGAAGGAACACCAAGCTATCCTCGGTAATGCTTTCCTCTTTCTTGCAGGAAGTCGTTTTGATCTTTTCTCAAAGGAACCGTTGCAAGTCCACCGTGCCGTGTCTGACCGGAATATCCAACGCACACACGCCTTGGGTTCTTCTGGGAACATCTCGAAGAGGACTGCCTGCGGATGGTGTCTTCACATCCGCAAAGATAGACAAGGGTCGTACATCATCATAGAAGAGACTAGTCGCCCTCACACCATGGGCACTGCAATTGCTTAAGCCGGGCGACATAGCCACCCCCCATGATCCTTGCACATCAGTTAACATGTATCAACACGGGCTGTTAAAACACTCGGACAAACATCCGGCTCACTTGTGGGGGCACGTGAAGAACATATCCATTTCTGAGAGGCGGTTTCCCTTGAATTGCCGACGGCCAACAAATTGCATCAAAATTGCCTTCCTGGTCTAGTTCTGGAACCTGTCTGAAATGCATGCATAATAAAAGTATCCAATTCCATTCTTGGGAAACTTGTTCGCAGCATTTCGCATTTAAGACTGTGTAATCCTCAGAAAGCGCCCCGTATGCCAAAACACACTGCACCGATGTTGATTTCCCTCCAAGACTTGCAGTCGTTGTGTTCATGAAACAACAACCCGCCGCGCAAGGATCGACGCCGGGTTGAAAAGCCAAATATTGTTTGATATTGAAAATGGATTGACCACATGACCCCAAACGACTTGATGATTCATCCGTTCCATTTCGTTGCTTAACCACATGGATCCCAAACACCATGGCCGAGCCTCATGCAAATCCTCCAAATGCTCCTCGCCTGTTCAGGTGTTGAGAGGGCGCCGGCGCAGACAAGACTCTTACCAACCGCATCCAACATGTCAGTCACTGTGCTCTGTCTTCATGTACAAACACAACTGCAAAGCACAAAACAACGGTTAAGCGCCTTGAACAGGCTCGGAAGGCTCTGCCAAAGGCTCCTTCTCAAGGAAATCCTGCCAGTCAACTGAAAACACCTCTGGCAGTCTGCTGGATCCCTTAGTTATAGTTGCTGGAGGCTGCGGATGGCCAATCTACTATGAAAACTGTCACGACGTGCGTTCGCACAATTAATTTGTGGGGCTTGGACACCTACTTTTGTGCAGGGGTTGGTTCTTTAATGGAGTCGCAAATGGAGCTAGGATATCATACATTAATACGGAGTAGCGAGCACGGCAAACGTCAGCTCCATTCAATTGAACACTAGTACAATGCACAATTGTCATCAATTGTCTACAGTTCCTGTCAATCCAAGTCCAGGCATGGTGGATCTCTGCGCCCATAAGAGTCCGATCATCAAAGCCTTTCCCCACATGCTGCCGTGCAATTCAATCCAAATCCCTCCCCTGTGCCACGTCAGCCTGCACGATGCTATGGGAAGACGGTTGAAAGGCGTTCATGGCGTTGCGGAGTTTGGTTACACAAACAAAGCCATGGCAACAAGTGGAGCGAGGGAGTCTTTGTACAATAAAAAGCACTCATTACAGCCGTAAGACGGCGTACTTTAGTTGAACCTGGAATATTACTTTGAACACTTTCCAGAAATCCAACCGTATACATCTCAGGCAAACAAATCAATCTCCATGGTGTGGTGCTCATCACCTGCAGGTGACGCCAAGCTTCCTCGCGGCTCTCATAGGCAGCTTCTGCCTGCCACCAGGTTCTTCGTGCCCCCCTCTCACAGCAACATGGGCCCTCTCTACCGCGGCTGAAGTGGCGGTTGTACTGCGGAAAGCGATCCAAAGCAGGTGGAACCGCAATGATCGTCAGTCCGTCCAGGCCAGCTGCTGTCAGCTGTGACGCCCAGCCCACAAGTGATCTTGCAATCTTCGGTACTTGGCCACCTTGCACGTCCAGACCTTGACATGGAGGGCTTGCCTGCAGCTCCGCTGGATACCCTTGAATGCCGCACACAGCGGACATCTGCAGGGAGAACATTGGATTTGGAGTCACTTCTCTTGCTCGTGACTCAGATCCAAAATGTCTGAAAACTTAGTATCTCAATGTATCTCATGTGGTTTAAGGCGACCAAAACATCCGGACACCCCATATTCCAAAGGTTCCTTGGGTTCTCAAGAGGCTTCTTTTTACACCCCTCTACCTTCCAGGTCCCCTTCCTTCCAACCAAGTCTCGGATCGGCCTTCGATCCACAATCCGAAGACACCGAAGCCTTCGATGGTTTCACACCCGGACCCCCTCCTCCAGAAGCCTTTCCTCTTTCGCTGCCTGAGATGGGTTGAGAACACAGCCGCCCCTTCTGAGATCGACTTGAAAAGACAGCTCGATTCGAGTCGAAACGTTTAGACGCGAGTCGACAGGAAGTCAACAGGTGAGCAATCCAGAGGATGCTGATACCATCTGATACTCATCAAATAGAACACATCACAAATATCATCAAATAGCAAATATCAATATACTACCATAAGCTCTCCGTTTAGGAATCCTTCGCAGGCTGGAATGTTGGATAGAACACTTGAAGGATCTTTCAATTGAGCTAGGACCACACACTTCACTTGCTGCATGACGCATCAATGACACTTCACCCCTCCGAAGAAGACAACTTGAAGCAAACACCTTCTTGGGATCCTCCACACAAAGTGTGAGCAATTCTCCTGCGGCGTTCACTTTGAGCCCTCATGGAACATCAAAAACATTCAAAAACCCAGACCTTCAAGATGTGCTCCCGTGTTTTTCCAGCAATCTTCCTAGACACTCCACGTTTCTCTCTTCCCACTGGGTCTCCCTTCCCATCTGCTGTGCCTTTTCATCGGTGCGGATGAAACCCCCTGGGTCTCCCCAGCCGCACGCCGTTGCCGCCGCTCGTCATTGCGCGTGGACGGCCGTAGGTTCTTCCGGGGTGGAAGAGGCTGCAACGACCCCAGCGCCTGATGGAGGGGCACGAGGGCGAGGGCGAGTGGATCGGATTTTCGACCGAACAGTGGAGGCCGAGAGGCCAAAGTCTGTTGGGGGTTCATGACTATGCAAGGGGGCATGTTGAATATGGTTGGACACCCTAGCTGATACTTGGGTGAGCATGAACAAAGAAACCTCCCTCATGGCCCGTAGGCATGCTTTCATGCTTCAGAAATGTTCTGCATCTCACTAGTGCCACTGATGTCTTGCACTTCCCATATTTGGGCCACAGCTCTTGGGTTCTGGCCAACTGCAAAAAAGAGAATCCTGAAGATTCTTTCACCAAAGGCATGCGGAGCTTGTCAACCTGGATTTGCTCTTTGGATCTTGACCCATCGCGATGGCACAGCACCTCTGACTTCTGGGACAGCACAAGAAAACCCTCAAGTCAAATAAGACTCGGGAGCAAAGCTGGCTGTTAACAAAACAACTCCTCCACCTACCACAACCGGCGTTCTGGTGGTTCTATCTTTCTGCTGTTTCTCACACCGTGCTGCCCCTGCTTCGAAGCTGAAGGCTTATCCTGAACCCATCCAACTGCCTGTTTCTTTGCAGGCACACCTGGCAATTCACGTCGGAAGCAGGAAGTGTTTGGGGGGTTGACAAGCTTTATGGTTGTATATATATATTTTTATATTTTTATAGTCATTAGCTTTATACGTCCTACAGTAGTTCATAGTAGTTCTAAGCGGGGCCCCCGTGTCCCAATAACCCACGTATACCCACGTCCTCATGCCCGTCTGAACATGGAACAGTCTCTGCCAAAAATGGGTGACAGCCCCATGCATTTTTGGCTTAGCATATCTGGAGGCCAATCTAGCCACTCAGTGCCAGCCAGTTTAGTATATGTGGTTGGTCTGTTTCAGAGGTGGTTATTTCCTCTCCAAGTTTGATGGGCGAGGATTCCTGCAGACACCCCTCAAAATCACGAGTTCTCTTGCCCTGCTGAGTGACGGATTCTGCCCACTGCCCACCGGAAAAAAAATGACTCATTGAACAACCTGTCGGTCTGTTGGGGGCCAGCATGAAGTTTGTTTCCTTCTTGAGTTGCGTTGAGCCGTGTCATTCTCGCGTGAGCAGCGCTCTTTCTGGAGCGCTCTTTATTTTTTTTCGCCGAAATAGGCAAATCAGGGAATTGATTTGAGAAATGCTCCGCAAGGACATGTTTTTGGGAGTCATCGGGTTGGTTTGGGGATCGTGTAGCCAAACAAAATACACATCTTAAATACTCCATTTTATCATATCTCATATCCAAACAACTGCCTATATCCCTGGAAAAGGAGGTCTCCATCATCCTCACATGGTATGGGATCCATGTCCCAGAATATCAGAATGTCCTATAATAAGCACCCAACTGTTCCAGAAACGTGTAGTTCTCCTACAAACCGGAGCTTCATGGGCTGTGTACAGCAGTGCTAATTGAGTACTCCAGCTGCCATGCGGCGCTCCTTTTCTCCTTCTCTACTGGGGTTTGCCGCAGGATGAGTTTTCATCCAAAGATTCGCCTCGCTCGGGTGCCAAAAACTTCCTCTTGAAACGGGTTGAGGAGCACCTGGATCGTGACAAATGCAGCGCTTGGTTGAGGACTTGGTCACATCAGTTTTGCAACTGTCCCAATTTAAAGCTCTCCACATCCGTCAAGCGAACAAACCAACGGATCCATTGTTGAGTTTTGAGTGAGCTAGGATGACAAGGTATTTGTTTTCTATCAAATTCCATCGTCAGCACCAGTTGTTCGCGTGGGTACAGCCGTAAAATGGACTGGCGCACTGATGTGTAGGCGTCGGCGTTGGGCCGAGCAGCGCACGGTTTTTTGCTGTGTCGAATTTACGAGTTTGCACTGAGCTGTAGTTGTCTCATGCTTTCTCTTATGATCATTACGGCATTATGGTGTTTGTATGTTTCCTTTTTGTCAGATTCGGGCTTCAACCTGCAAAGCTCAGGAGTGGTTCAAACTCTGATGTAGGCAGTGCTTTGAAGTAGAGAAAAGGAGCAAAACGGCACTTGAACAGCGCTTTGAGGGTGCGAAAAGCTGAGCAACCACGTAGATTCGCCAGGGGTGTGAAGTCCTCAGCCAACAATACTTTAAAGACTTCATGCGTTTCAAATTGTCATGTGATGGGCTAAGCAAAGAGTTCGCAACATCTGCAAGGATGTGCTTAAAATACTTCTGACTTTGCTGCAACTAACTGCTCCAGCAGCCGCGACAAAATGGCAAGCACCTTTCCCGTCCAAGAGAGATGCGTGATCTTGCAACAGCTCAGGGAACCTCAACTGCTGTTCCAAGCTGCACTAACCAGGTCCAAGTCCTCCAAAGAAACCCGTACGTGGCAGCAGCAGCAGCAGCAGCAGGAGGAGGAGGAGGAGTATTAGTAGTAGCAGTAGTAAGTAGGAGTCGTAGTAGGAGTAGGAGTAGGAGTAGTAGGAGTAGGAGTAGTAGGAAGAGCAGGAGTAGGAGTAGGAGTAGGAGTAGGACGAGTAGGAGTAGGAGTAGGAGTAGTAGTAGTAGTAGCAGCAGCAGCAGCAGTAGTAGTAGTAGTCGGAGTAGTAGTAGTAGTAGTAGTAGTAGTAGTAGTAGAAGTAGTAGTAGTAAAATTGACCTGGTTGTGGGTCTCGGATTAGCTGGGCGGGTTAGCACCCAACAACCTTATTCAGGGAGAAATGTCCCACCAATAATGATTTTCAATTTTCATATTTGGATGAATTTTTGAGGCTGTTTGGGCTCGGATCAAACTAGGGGAGGTTTGTTAATCGAGTTGACCTTGAGGGAATGGAACCAAAGGAATCTCTATGGGAAGCTCATTCCCTCATTCCCTGCTCAGCACCTGGAGGGGCAAGTCTGGATTTCTGAGCGACCTGTGGAGTAAGCAGGTCTTGCCAGCACCGGTAAACTATCCTGATTTTTGTCAGAATCGTTCTCCAAATGTCGTTGGAGCCTCCAAACCAAACGCGAGCATGAGTGAGATCTGAGGAATGTCAATCCAAATCCCCTGGTTGAAACTTCAAATGTCTCACCAACATCGGCCAGGAGTCTTGGCAGAAACAAATATATTGACCAGGTGCTTTGACTTTGTAAAACACCACACACACACACGTGTAATGACATACAGACCTAGAACCTGATTGACCTCTATGTTTTCGGATCACCAATTACCCAAAATATGGTCTCTTCCTATCAGGGATATATATATATATATAACATAACACACATATATATATATATACATACAGTAGAGAGATATACATATTTGCCCCTGAGATGGCAACCTTTTGACTTAACTAGGGATGTTAGAGGGTGATCCTCAAATTGTCAAATTACCAGGCACCTCTCATTTCAATGTGCCCAGCGAACGCTCGCCTCGACATCACTCTTGGACGCGCTCACCACGTCGTTTTTCGGCGCTTCTGCAGTTCTCGGTGGGTCCACAAGCACTGAGAAGATCTGGGGCAAAAGGGGCCAGCTTAGCTGGGTGATATTTGTTCACATTCAGCTGTTTCAGATTCTGCGCAGGGGTGAAATGACATCTTCTTTCTTGCTGCATAGAGCTGTTTTGGAGACTCATCACTCTTACAACGTCTTGCACTCTTACTGAAGAAAACACTCTTCCGGAAAAATGGTTGCTCCGCCCTCCCATCAACCAGGGCTCAGGTCTTGGAGCGATTCTCCACAGGAACAAGTTTCTCGGTGGAAACGTCAGAAAAAGCGGGTTCCTCTCTAAGTTTCTCCACCAGCATGCTGCACCCATGGGTCTTGACATAAACATGGGAGTAACCTTGAACATCCTTGAACTAGTCCCGCAGCACTGGGCCCTTGGGTCCATTCAATGCAAGGCGACGACAAACAGGACAAACAGGATCAGCGACTGACTGGAAAGGGGCTCTGGAACCTACGGGGGGTACAGGACTCAAGGAGCGGTGTGAAATCCAAGCACGGTTTTGTCGTGCCAATGGTTTTGGCTTCTGAGCACCTGTGATCCACAAAACACACTGCATTCTCAGCTGGATCAACCGAGAAAATCTCCAGCGGCTGGAAATTGTATACTCCAAGTCGCTGGTCCATGGACTGCCGAAGTGCAGGCCAAGTGGTCAGTCAAGCTATACAATACATCAAATCTGTGCACAATTTAGGATATTCAATAAATATCCAAAAATGCCACAAGCCGAGGAATCACTAGGCGCCTTAGCAGCCTTGGTGGTAGGCAAAACTGTTTTCACCTCAAAAGCAATACGGCCACAGCAGTGGTCAGCAAAACTGTGAGCCGGTTCACAATGGTTCACAGTCGTTTGTTCGGAATCCTTTCAGCAAATCCCTTCAAGTGGCTTCATATCCAATCTAGAATCTAGAACTTGGAGGCTTCCATGCAATCGCTTTCACCAACCACCATACACCCCGGCTTGGTCTTCCCCTCGCAGCTCTGGCGCCCTCTTGGGCTGCCCGACAGCGACACGGGGCAGCACCCGGGTCACTTGCACCAGCGGCAAGTCATTCCCGAAGTTCGAAGAGGGTGATCAACTCGATCGTTCCGGTGGAGGATCAACTGTTTCGATATCAATACGTGGGCCATTGGTCTGTCCTGCTTCGATCATGGCGGTTCCAGGGTGAACGAGCCAGTTCGGGGTCACGGATTGCTTCATGGCTTTCCGGTTTTGGGACAGTTGAGGCAATCCAGGTCCTGTTCATTCTTTGACCCCCGCAGGGGTGCAAAACAAACTCACAGCTGGACTTCCCATCCGCGATGGCTCGCGATGGCTCGTGATCCTCCACCGGGTGCTTTAAGAAAGGAGCCTCCTCTGGGTGATTCGGAGGCGAAGCGAGCGAAGGTTCACCTCGTTCTTACCCCCATCTCACCTGCACAGGACGAAGAACACGTCGGACTGAGAGCGGAGGGAGGCAAAGTGCCAAAAAATTCGGACCCTACAAAAGCATTGCTTCAAATGGTCTTGGAATTCTTCCCTGGCAACATCCGCGAAGACAGGAGTGCCCACCCGCATTGCCCATGAAGTCTCATGGTCTGACAGGAAACCTACATGGTCGAAACATGTCGAAACAAAACCCTACGGGAAACGCCTGATATCTTTGATGAACAACAAGGCCACCAAGCTCCCTCTTCTTCTGCACCCAACTTGCATAAGTATTTCAACGAAGCTGACAATAAGACTAACAAGGAATCAACGCATCAGACTAACGGGAAAAACAGGCATCAGTCTTTCAGATCGAACCATCTAACTATCGAACCGTCTGCTTCTTCGTGACCACCAAAAAACACACAAAATCCACTTGCGCGAATGATCCACCCCAATCCACTCCCGCATCGTGGAGATATCACTCAGGGCGTTCGTGCCCTCGACAAAAGCTACAGTTGGGCGTTCGGAGTTACAACCCCCCGCAGAACCTTCTACAAAGGTCCCAGCCCCGTGCTTCCAGCTGTTTGCCAAATGCACGACACAATTTCCCACACGAAGATCCCCGTTGTTGGAGCATTAGCCTCTTGTGAGGCAAGAGTAGGTTTTGGGGTGGTGACAGTGACAGGATGCTCAAAACACATTTGACATTTGGTTCTTGGGGAGCTATTTTTGCCTGACTCCATGGGGCAGAGAATCATGGACACTTCCCCATCTTGCAAATGCTGCAGATTCAGGCAGAGCGGTGTTGCGCCAAAACGGATCCGGCCATTCTGACATTCTATTCGTTCGTCAGCAGCTGGACATCCAGCTGTCATTTCTTTCCTCAATCTGTACAATCTGCACCAGTTAGTTTTTTAGTTTGCAGAATCCTAGTTTTTGGACAAGTCGGAACCCAAGGAGTCTCCATGCAGTTGCAGACCCAACAAACTCCCAAGTTTCAATACAATGATTTGCAGTTTTACATCTCATACCAAGAGACCTTAGGAACAGTGGCTGCCTAGCTGGTCCCCTGCATGGGTGCCTTGCACGACGCGAAAAGAACAATCCAGGATACACACGGATACAGTGTCTTACATGGTCTGTCATTCACCCATGGGTCTTGCCTCTTTCAATCTCTTTCACACAAAGGAACCATGTATATATATATATATAATGTATATACAGTTATATACATATTTTATATACTCTGTATATAATTCTGTATGTATGCGTATTGGCTCCTATGCATCATTCCTGGACACTAGGGGTTCTCCTCCATGTCTCATATTTTGAGAAATCAATGCCCCCTCAAAGGTGCTGCTGCCACTTCCCCTGAGCCCTGGGGACAAACTTGGAACATCCTGGTTGCTCGGATATAGTATTGCTTCAACCAAATCACCACATATAGAAATCCCCGTGTGAACTCGTGACTCGGTTTGACCATGTTTGACCCCTAACCATTGGAAGGCCTCACAATGCTTCAGGCTCCTTTCGTGTGCTTCACACGGCCGCACAGCCGCCACGTCTGTCCGTTTGGGTCGCCGCAACGCTCCACCGTCGGTCGACCGGTCAGGTCGGCAGAATTCGTGCGAAGTCCGAACTCAGTGGAGCAACCTTCTTCCGCGTCCAAAGCTTCCCCACAAGACTGCCTCCGCAGCTGTCAGGTCGGCTGCGCCGTGGCTGAAAGTGTGACCCTTGATCACTTCCTTCACCGGAGTCAACAGAAACAGGGTAAACCAAACAACCACCTCTAGTGCTCTACCTGGCCCCCTAATAAGCCCCATGAATCTTCGATCAAGTCAAGATGACGAGGCGAAAAGAAAAAGTCTTTTGTCCAGGTTCAAGGTTTCTTTGAGAGAAGTGTCGAAATGTTGAATGTCGCAGGAATTAGATCGACTTCATGATGAGTCTGAAGTTTTCGAGATCGGTCGAAAGTCTCAGAGAAGATCGGAAGGTGGAGGATCTTGTTTGCAAAGCCATGGAAGGTCTGGATTCAGAGTGAATGCAATTTCCATTCTATTCTGTTTTGTGTGTGGACAGACTGTGTGCTGGTGCTGGTGCTGCTGGTGCTTGTGGTGCTGGTGGTGGTTCGTTCGTTCGTTCGTTCGTTTGGTTGGTTGTTTGTTTGTTTGCTTGCTTGGTTGTTTGTTTGTGTGCTTGTTTGTTTGTGTGTGTCAATGCCTGTTTCTAAGGCTTTCACACATTGCAAGTTAATTCAAAACCACTCAAACTCTTTTAAAGGCAGGGGG